GAGGCTCATCCAGATCCTTGATGTTGGATCTCTTTCTTTCTCATCACCCTCCACCCAGCCAGGTCCCTCATCACCATCATTCTCAACCTGGCTGTTAAACATGGTGTTCAGAACAAGTGATGCTGCTCTGCTGAAATTCAAGGCCAGATGCACGTCAGTGCCCAAGCTTTCCATGTCTTGTTAAAGGAAAGACACAAATCTGAAGTTTCCTTGCTGGAAATTTTAGATTTTCCGTGAACACGTTAATTGTTCTAAAACATTAAAAGCAATAATTGTCTTTTGTGAAACAATAAATTCCAGAATCTTCAAACCTGGAAAGGAAGATGGAATGGACATGGTAATTGCTGCCTGTGCCACACAGTGTGGCTATTGAGGGGAGCTACCTGACAGTGAATTTCAGGCAATGGCTGGAGCTCTGAACTGTTGAGGCTTTGTCTGCTGGGGTCTGGCGTGATTGAAAGAAGCCTTACAAAACAAAATTGGGCTCACTGAAATGTAACAGCTATGTTGGCATGAAAGAAAGGCCCGGTGGAAATACTGCTTGTGTGCTGCACTTGAGTGTCTGCTCCATGCCATGAACAGTCAGTTTGTGACAGGACAGCTCCCAGTCACGTCCCAAGCAAAGATTATGCTGTAAAAAATGAAACTGAATTTGATAGTTCTCCTCCTGCTTGCTGTGAGATACGTTGGAGATAATAAGACACATAATGAAACACCTTAGGATGTTTGTCACCTCTCCAGGCTGAGCTAAAGGGGAAAAAATGATGACATTGAAACAAGTTAATTGATTGAATATGTGTATTAGGAAGGTCTCCCAGTAACAGTCACAAGCAGTTGTACAGATGAGAATGTTCTGCCTTCAGGATGCAGCAGAGTTTTGGGGTTTTTTCCTCTGAGAAGGCCTAGAAGGAAACAGAACGTGGTTTTTTTAAATTCTGGTTGCTGAAAGTGTTGTCCAGGAAGGCAGAAAACTGTGACATTTAAGCTCACAAGACTGAAATTAGGAGAGAAACTGTCTCAAGTGTGGTTATCTTCTATGTGTGAAAATAGCTGCTCAAGGAAGGCAGAATGCTCAGACTGGAGAAGGAGCCCTTTGGAAAGAGTGGGGGTGTGGTACTTGCCTGGTGCTTTTCCATGCCCTCCAGAAAACATAATCTCTGCTTTTTTGGTGCTCTGCTGTTAAGAGGACATTGGGGTTTATGTGACAGAGGTAATGAAAGGTATCAGGATCAGAGGTGCTGTGTTAGAGATGAGACACAACGAGGTGAATCTGCACAGCCTTGGTCAGCTCTGCTGCTTCAGGAGCACTGAGTTAGAGGTTTGTGCCTTTGGGGTTTAGGGAATCTGTTCTCCTTTAAAATCCACATCACTTTTCCTGCTCTGATGTGTGCTGGGTGCATGGAAGCTTTGAGGATGGAGCAGGTGGGACTTGTCAGCAGAGCTGTTCCCTGACCATTGCTTCAGGTAACTGCAGGTAAAGGCATCCCTTGGGTTTTATTTGTGTTTAGCCTCCTGGTAGCTGCCTTTGAGAAACAGCTGAAGCATTGAGAATGGGATCAATTCTGTTCTTCTTGTGAGGATGGAGGCACTGCAGTTGCTTTTCATTTCTCTGTCAGTAGAAATGGGCCATGTTCTTATTATGGCAGATTTTTATATGTGTGTAAATATACTTATTCTTTTTATAACTGCCAAGACAATCTCTTATCTTTATGGATTTGTTGCAGACATGCTCAAGTAGATTTTTGGTTTCTGTTGTATTTTATAACCGTTGTAAAATGCGCCTTGTGTTGCTGTTTTTAATGTGCATGACTCTGATGAAATATAAAAGAAGATGATTAATCATTGCATGAACAATTGAATTCTTGGTGAATTTTTACAGGACCATTGTGTTAAGTTGTTTACCTGCTTTTTATTTTCCTGCTGGCAGAGCAGTACATTTTCCATGTCTAACCTAAATGTACAGCCTTCTTACAGGAGCTTAGGAGTGGTAGATTATTTCAGGTTTTAAGTGGCAATATTCCCAAATGCTTTCTTCACTCTTTTTTGTAAACTGCAAAAACATTTCCAGTTCTTGGCTCTGGCAAGACTGAGAGAGTCCAGCCAGCCAAGCAAAAAAACAAATTGAGCATTTATACTCCAGCATCCCATTTTGAAATACAGCTGGAAAAAACTACTCCTTTAGCCACAGCAACATCTTCCCCCTTGACATTTTGTCTCTTCTTCTCTGCCCCTCTCCCCACACCCACACATCTATTGTCCATGAAATATTAACAGTTTTGATGCAGAAGCTTGGAAGAACACCTTTATATGGGATTTACAGAAGTTGTGTGAATGAAACCTTGAATTTGGGGGGCTGGGGTGATGAGAGCAGTTGAAGAGAGGGAGAAGCTCAGCCCTGGCCCCATGTGCCACCCTTGGTGATTCATGGACAGATGGATTTGGTTGAGCTCCAGTGGCAGAGCCTCCCAGCATTCCCAGCTGAAATGGGGAAATTTGGAAGAGTGGAAGAGGGAAAGTAGAACCAAAATGTCAAGGAAGTGGCAGATTGCAGCCTGATCAGTGTCCAGATGTTGTGTGGGAAACTGGAGGAGAGATGAAGCACTCACGGAGTCAAAGGTACACCAGGAAAAATGAACTAAAGACCTGAAATGAAAAGAAGCAAGTAAGAGAAATTAAATATACTTTAATGAATCTTGCTAAATGAAATGTTAGCTTGTTCCTTGCTGCTTGGAGGGGAGCAGGGGCTCTGTTCTGAGCAGGGTGTGTTTGTCACATCCTGCAGTCCTGGAAGGATTATTGACTCCAGTAGGTGATGATGGCAGTGTGGGCCCCTGAAGGACATGGTGCTTTGAGCACCTCAAAACAGCCAGAATTTAATGGTTTTGTCTTTGTTTCCTGTGCCTGTTTGTGTAACTCACCAGGCATTGCTAGTCTGACCATTTTATTATTTTTTTCTTCAGCTAGGTTGAATTGGAAATGCACATGCTGATAAAAGCTATCACTACACTATTAAAATGTACTGAGAGGGCTTGGTGATGCATCTGTGCTTTGTGATAGTTTGTGTTGCTCGAGGTTTGTTGTTTTTTTCCAATATCCCATCTTACATAATTTTTGCAGCCTGGATCTTGCACCAACTTTTTGTGGTTGAAGAATGAATTAAACTTTAAAACAATGAAGCCTTTGGAATATCCTTCCTAAGTAAAGAACTCTTCTTTGCTCTAACCTGGAAAAAATGTGGTTTGTTGCTCAGAGTGAAGGACTGGGGTTTGTCAGGGCTGGCTTGGGGGGCACAATAATGTTTTCACTCATTTATGTTCCAGTGAGAAGTGATTGTTTCAGTTCACATCCTTGGATTGGAAAACTCTTCCAAGATGTGTTGTGTGTTTGAACAGCTACTCTGGTGTATTGAGGCTGGTCTGCTTACATGTTTATAAATATGTGCCTGTCCTTATGTCTTCAAATATGTAATTTTATTTTCACATGGCAGTACCTATATACAGTGAACCAACATTCTATTTTTTAGTTACATACTAAAATAACCTTGTTACACAGATGCTGCTTATGATGTGCTATTAATAAAAGATTTTAGTACCTGAGTTGGTCCTTTAAAGGAAAAAAAAAGCCCCACCACTTTTTTATTAGTCTGGATGTTGCAGCCAGGCAGAGCTGTTCCTTCAAGTGGCTTAATGAAGATTTGATTGATTTATTTTGCTCATCTGGAGAGTGTGTGGATTACCTCTGTCAATATTGGGCATGATAAATGATGGCTGGGCACTTAGAGAGCAATTTGAATTATTTGAGCTGTTCAGGAATCGAGCAGTGACTCGATTCAAGAGGCATTACAAGGAGAAAATGCTGAGTCCCTTTTGGGATCTTCTGAGGGAGCAGATCGTGGTACAAATCAATGACTAGGAGCTGATCTTAAATGTCTTTATATGTGAGACTGGGATCAAACTGTTGAGGAAATCATTGTTGTTCTTTGAAGTTTTGAAGCAGTGCTGGAAGATGTTCTTTGGCCATGTGCACACATAAATGACAGGGTGGAATTGCTGGGTGAAATGCGGTGGCTTGGGATTACAGAGGAGGTTGGAAAAGGTGATGTAATTGCTCTTTTGGGAGCACAAATCAATAGGAAAAAAATCTGTTGTTATTTCTGCCTTCATCTTTTAGCCAAAACAAGGGAAATCTGAGCATTACATTAGATCATTGTATTCATGTCACCTTAGTTTTCTTAAGCTTCATTGTATTGAAATTCTTGCCAGAAAACCTGTTTATTGGCCAGTGCTGTGTACAGTGCGTGGTGGCTGCGCTCTGAAAGGCTCTGCAGTTTGTGTCACAGGGACCCTCACTCACCTCCTGTGGGATCTCAGCACCTCAGCACTGAGGTGTCACCGAGACCACCCTTGGGGGGCTCGGGAGTCCTGGAATGTTCCAGAAGTGTCTGGTGGCTGGACTTTGATCCTACACAGGAGACGACACCTGTATGAGGACAGGAGGATTTCACCGGGGTGAATGGTGAAGGGATTGGTTAATTAGAGAGTGAAACACAGGGTTTAGGATTTCTGTACAGGGGGGTTTAGAGAAGTAAGATGGAGGAATTGGGGCGTGTCCTGTCCTTCTTCTTCTTCTTCTTCTCCTCCATCTTCTGTGGTGATGGTGGCACTTTGGGATTGGTCATTACTAAAAGTGCACTGGTCAATAAGGGTGAAAGGTATTGGGGAAAAATGATAAATATTGTACATGTAACCATGGGTATAAAGATAGGTGACTGTCCGGATGGCAGGGAGTGTGCTCATGGCTGGCTGCTGAGCAGAGCTCTGTCGGGCCGAGAGAAAATCTTTTAGATAAACAATTAATAAACACCGAGACTGAGAAAAGAACTGAGGCCTCTTCTGTTCCTTTGAAACGCAAACTGCTCCAAGGCCACCCCCGGGCCTTTCCAGGCCCTCCAAACAGCCGGGAATCGGACAACCTCCTAGTCCTGGGTAAAGGCATCCTGAATGCCTGCGGATGTTAACACTGGTACAAAGTAGCAAAGATAAATATTTTAGCTACTCATCTGTCATGTTTTCTCACCCATGTTTCTGTTTTAACTTGTAGATTTCGGATCTTTGTTTGACTTGGAAAATGATCTTCCCGATGAGCTGATCCCCAATGGCGAGTTGGGCCTTTTAAATAGCAGTGGGAACCTCGTTCCAGATGCGGCTTCCAAACACAAACAACTTTCTGAACTTCTGAGGGGCAGCAGCGGCTCTTCCTTGAACCCAGGGATTGGCAATGTGAACTCGAGCAGCCCCGTGCAGCAGGGAGTGGCTGCCCAGGTGCAGGGGCAGCCCAACAGCGCCGGCATCGGCAGCCTGGGCGCCATGGGCAAGAGCCCGCTCAACCCAGGGGACTCCTCTGCTCCTGGCCTGGCCAAACAGGCAGCCAGCACCTCTGGACCTACCACACCTGCGTCCCAAACTCTGAACTCTCAAGCACAAAAACAAGTGGGAATGGTGACGAGCAGCCCTGCGACATCACAGACTGGACCTGGGATATGTATGAATACTAATTTCAGTCAGACACACCAGAGCCTTCTCAACAGTAATTCTGGTCACAGTTTAATGAATCAGCCTCAGCAAGGACAAGGGCAGGTAATGAATGGATCTCTTGGGGCAGCTGGAAGAGGAAGGGGAGCAGGAATGCAATATTCTGCCCCTGCCATGCAGGGGAATGCAGGCAGTGTGCTGGCAGAGACTTTAACCCAAGTATCTCCACAGATGGCTGGGCACACCGGGCTGAACACAGCACAGACAGGAGCAATTACTAAAGTATGTACATGCCATTTACTGTCTTCTATTTATTGCACTTGTTTTTCTCCATACAGGTGTTTAGGAAGCACAGTAGATCCTTTTCTGGGACAGAACTAAAGGATGTGCTTTTCTTGAGTCTGTAGTTCCCCATTTCAGTCACCAGTGATATTGTGAAAAGGAGATAATTGAAGCAGTTCTTCTCATGTAATCAAAAATGAAAGCACTTGTTGAAAAAGACATCCTCGAAGCTAAAAGTTGGAAAGTATCTTAGCAGAGTGAATTAGAAAAGAGTAGCATAATCCTGCAGAAAGGAAGCAGATGATTCCTCGTGTGCAGGATCTCAATTTAGCTGCCAGACAACGCCATCTTCTAAAGCAATGGGAGCACTTGGAGATGGAAGGGAGAAGTGTAGCCATTGCTCCTTTGTCAAGGACTCTGTCAGCAGCCGTGCAGCGAATGGTTTTTAAATATGGAGCAACTGATCTGGAAACATCAGATTTCACGTAGATTGCCAAGCTAATGCAAACTGTGCCAGGGGAGGGCAAGAGCCTCGTTTGGTGGCCATTGTGGATCAGGGCAGGGAATTTATACCTGGAAGTATCTGCTTCTGTCACGGGGTGCTGCTCTGGCTCCCTGTTTGATACAGTTACTGCTTTTTAGTTTTTTGTTTCCCAGATGTGAGTTTAGAGCCCTGTTTCGACTGCTGCTCTTCCTGCCCTGTGCCTTATCTCTTGTTTGCATTGTTTTGGTATAGTTGCTTCATGAAATTTTGATGGCAACCCCACCATGTTCTGAAATGTAGAAAAAAGGTCAATTTTTATCTCTGATATTTTATCTATTCATACATCAGTAGCTGTTGTCACTGTAGTTAATTAGCATGTAAATGTTAATTCATTGATGTGTTAGTATTGTGGAAAAAATTGCATTGTCTGACATGAAAGTGTGTGCCCTGTACTCTGAAGAGGTGCTCACATCACTTTGGAGTACTGTATAGTTCATTTTAATTTTTTTCAAAATAAAAACCATAAAAAGCATTCTCTCTGCAGTGAAGAGATGCTTCTGCTTATGCAAGAGATGCTTGTGCTATGAGTGAAGGTCAGAGCACCTGAAAGTTGATATAACTGTTTTGGAGGCTGCAGACAGCTAATTTTGTTGTGTGGAAGCTGATTGGTCTGCACTGAAAGAGAGTCAGCTTATCTTTCTTTTGTTTTCCTTTGAAATTTGTGGGAAGAGTGAGGAATTCTATTTATCTGGCTTATTTCTGTGAATTTACAGATACCTAAGTTCTTGGGAGTAGATTTTTTTGTCACTATTCAGTTTTATGTGAACCGACTGAAGTAGAATTACCCCAAAGCAAAGGACTTGCTGACCCAATCTGTGTGAGCCTGATGGGGGAGGTTCTGTGAGGTCTTGATTTATTTTAAACAAATCCACCTCTGGTAAAGAACAGGCCAGATCTCAGACAAATTCCACATTTCAAGGACTTCAGGCCTAACCTGTTGCCAGCTGCAAATGGATTCACCAGCTCAGGAAAGGGACCCAGGGTGCCTCAGTTTACACATGTGCAAAAAGCAAAGTAAATTTGGCTTTAGCAAGGAATGCACTGTAAGAGAATAGTGACTTTTCATGACAGAGCACAAGTGATAAAATGGTGCTTCTTTGAAGGTGCACTTCAAATCATTTTAAAAACTTGGCCAAGTAAAACAGGAAAACTGGTGTTTTCCAGGGCTCCATCTCTTGTTGAATAAGATGAAGCTTAAAAGCATTGTGTTTCTTTAAAAAGTTTAACTTCATATACATCTTCTTTGTCTCTTATTAAAGAGATTAGGTGAGCTGAGTATTTTACACAAAAATTTTGTGTTTCCATTTTGGAACAAATGCTTGCTCCCTGAATTTTCCTGTACCAAGCAGCAGTGTTCTCTGTCTTTGCCATTTTCTTAGTTGCCATTTGAGGATTGTTATCCTTTTCCAGTCTCTCCCCATCCCCCAGTTTATTGTCCTAATAGGATTATCAGCCATGATTGTGTGTTAGCTTTTTCTTATTGATGCTTCAGGAAAGCTTTTCTTAAAAGCAAAGAAAAACTTCAGTGAGTTTGTCTGTTCTTCTGAAACTAAAATTTCTGCTGAAGGAAAATTTGGGTTAGTTTGTTTTTTCACCTCCTCATTCCCTCCTGTTTACCACTTAATGTGTACAGCTTAAAAGATTTAAAGAGCTGTAATAAAAGTGGTGAGGCAGCTGATCTACCTAATAGTGAACAGTGTCCAACTTGTCTAAACAGCTTAAAATGTAGCTGCCATCCTGCTGTATCTGTATCAAGGCTGGAAGGAAATTCTCTAGGCAAAGACTGTAGCAATATCCAAAGGGAAACAAAGAGCTGTGAAGTACAAATGCAGAAAAAATACCTAAAAGAACTATTTATTATTCTAATTACATTAAAAAGAAGTGATGTGCATCTCTGAGTAACCTTGTTCAAGTGCAGCTCTGCAGCCCATTTTTGTCAGTTCAGTGTGTTGATATGGAACTCGTGACCCTTCATGGTTTGGGACCAGTTTTGTTAGGCAAGACCTTGCTTCTGTGGTGCTTGGTTCTAATCCTTTTTCAGTGTGTGACCAATCAATCCATTCCTTTTCCTGGTTTTGTTGGTTGTGGTGTGTTTATATAAGCATTCTTTCTATTAAGAGAAAAAGAAGGAAGAACATCCAGAATCTGGTCCCTTCACCTGATCTCACAAATTGCAAGGATTCATTTCATCTGAATCATCATCAGCCATGATTGTGAATTTTGGTCTGGACTTGCTATTTTAAGGCAGGACTGAGCAGGGTGACTGAGGTTTGTGTTCCTGTGCTTGCATGAGCCAAAGGTGGGGATAAACCTTAGCCCTAACCTATTCAAGCAGGAGTGGAAAATAATTTAATTCTCAGTGTCAGAGGGCAATAAGGTGCTGATATCAAGACAATTATTCTTCCATTGGCAAGGAGAGATTAAAGTAAAATACTTCCTCAATCTATAGAGATGTGAGGAAAGATTTCACGTGATTCTCCAAAGATCAGTGATTTTTCTTGCTGAGATAGCTGGAAACCTTTGAGGAATTCCCTCTTCCATGATACTGTGTGTGTCTCTGCTCTCTTCACTGGCAGTCTCCTTTGCTGTAACAATTTCACTTGTAATTGTGGCATTGTGGCCCTTTTTTCTTGGATGACCCTACAAGGAGCATTTTTATTGGACTGGGTTGAAGTTCCTTAGGAAATCAGCTTTAAAGAGGAAAGGATTTGTCTTTGAACAATTATTGATGGGAGTAGAGGAGCAGATCATCTTGTCACAATCATTTCCAGCAGTAATGAATTGCCCTTTTGTGTTGTACCATGATTTTTGTTGAGTCCTTTAAGTCCAGAAAACATGTTCAAACCATCTAGAACATCTTGTTAGAGGTGGTTTTTTTTAATTGTTGGTTGTTGGATGTGATGAGCAGTAGCAAAGCTCAGCAGATTGTCATTGCTTCCATAGGAATGAGCATTTCATTGGAGACATGGTTGTGTTTTACACTCCTGTTGCTGTGGGAGCTCTTCTTCCCCAGGTGAAGGAGATGAAACCTTCCTGTTCTTTGTGGCTGGAAATTGAGTTTCTTTCATTGAGTTGTTGGAGAGTCTCTTGCTGAGATGCATTCCCTGTGTCTCGGGCAGCTGTCAAAGCCCATGGAAAGTTAGAAAAAAAATGTTGGGAAGTTCCCATTTATTTTGTATGGTTCTCAGGCTTCCTTTTTGCCCTGTATTAGCAGTTCTGGACTGTGATTCCTCTACCTGGTATTCTGCTCTTTCCCTTCAGAAGTGGCACAGTCCCATTCAGATGAGAGGACTCTAGTGTTTTCTTTTCTATGTGTTTCCAAGCTATAATGCCTCCTCACACAATTCTGTAAAAGGAACCCCCTTTTCTTCACTGACTTCAGAGTCCTGTCACTCCAACAAGGATATTCTGGTACCCAGCAGCAGAAAGTAAGGGAAAAATCTGGAGTTGTGCATGGCTGATAATCTGTAGAAAGTATTGCTGTTAACCTGCAGTGAAGATACAGCTTGCTGGGGGCTCCTTTCAAAGTGTTTTTCTTTACGGAACCATTAAACCTACCCCAAATTCAGCTTTCCTTCTGAAGGGCAGGCTCAGTTTAATCAAACATTATTGGGCTCTATGCCTTGGAAAAAGATTCAATTGTTTGGTCAGACTGAATCTATAAAGAGATGAGAGAAAATGTTTGTTTATTTTCGTACCTAGTTACGATATTTACAACATTAATGATTGTTTAGGGTTTTTTTTGGGATGCCTTTTTGAAGATTGAAGATTTTGAATAACTTCAATCTACCTGTTTTGAAAACTCTGAAGGAAAATACTAATATTGATATGAAATAGAACCTGTGTGCAGGGAGAAACTGATGGAAAAGCTGATCTGGCTGGCAGATGTTCCAGTGTAGTTGCAGGGAGTTTAGATCCAGAGTTCCAAGTGCTGTGTGCAAGAGATGAGTTTTCCTTACCTCTGTGTGTGGATTTAAGCCCCACTGGAAGTTGGTCCCAGCATGGGATTGGCATCAAAACCTGAACAGACTCAAAACAATCACTAACTGTGCAAAACTAGATCTGGTCTGCTGGATTTTTGCCTATGAGTGCAGAACAGTTTTTTCCTCTAAATGGTATTGGCCTAATTTGTTTGGACAGTGCGTGTTTTCAACTTTATTTCAGTCAAAATAGCACATGGCAGTGTATGCTTCAGTAAGAGTAGGGTCAGATTAAAGAGGAGGAGGAACTCTTACCAGAAGTGAACTTCAGAAACCAGTAAAACAATTTTTTACTTCTACCAAGAGAATAAACTGTTGTCTTGGGGCTTTTTAATGTTGAGCTATAAAAGAAGAGAATTCTGTCGTTGTTTCCAGGCAGGGTGTCTGTCTAATACACGTGCCTTGGACAAGCACATTCACAGTTTTGCTCCCTGAGTGGTGTTTTGGTGTTGGAAATTAATCTTGAGCAAATTAAA